TATATATATATATATATATATATTCCACAGCCAGGCAGGAGGCGGGAATGGAAAGCTGTTTCCTTTACACAAGTGTTATTTCCTTAGCAGGGTGTAACTGCCAGCGCTCCGCTGCAACAACACCCGAGCACTGGGTGGGCGAGTTGAGCACGGGGCAGCTCGAGCTCCTGCCCCCAAGAGCTCGGCTAAAGCCCCAAGAGAATACCCTAATTTCCATCCAGAATATTCTTAGATTATTCACCAGTGGGGTTTTTTTCCTTCATGAACCACCCAGAGCTTTTGGTCCACGTCCACCCTTCCAGCGCCTGTAACAAAGCTGAAAGTGAAGTGCAGGCACAACCGTTGGAATTTGCTCCCTTGAAATATTTGCATTGTTTAGTTGGAAAAAAAATAAAAAAAAATCAGTTAAACAGTTTCAACAAAATTTCCTGAGTGATTTCTGGGCAACACCAGCTCATGCCCAAAGAGAAGCAGTTGGCTGGAATTTTTTCCACCAGTTTCTGGGGGACTTTCTAGAGGGTCCCAGGTCTTTGAAGTTCTGAAATAAAGCGCCGCAGGTGCCACGCTGGGTCCCAGGCGCTGACGGGTGCCACCCCCTACCGAGCTCCTACCTGCCAAGCTCCACTAACACCTGGCTTTGATTGCCAACAGAGCTCCCACGCTCTCCTTCCCCTTCGGGCTGATCACACCCTGCGGCTCGAGGCTTTTGCAGACTCTTCCTATTAATATTTCTTTCCAGATACATCCAAGCTGTGGGGCTGTGGGTGACGCGTAGCTCCTGCTCCCGCTTTGCAGGAATAAAGTCTGCAGAGATGCCGAGGAGCTTGGTCAGAAACACAAGATCGACGTGGGGAGCTCAAAACCCCGGCTCGTTTCTCAAATACGTCCGTCATTTCCACCACGGCGAAGGCAGAGCTGTGGGCTCAGGGTAAGGAGCTGCGTGTTCAGATGTCACCAGCAGGTCACCAAAGCCACCACATCCTTCAGAGATAAGCTTCAGCTGACGAAGGGTTCCCGTTAATGACTCGACTGCACGGAAGTCACTGAAGAATTTAAAGATAACAAGCGTTAAAGAAAAATAACCTCTCAACTACTGAGATTTGTCGGTGGAGCCTCAAGTGGCTCCTGGAGGAGGGCAGAGATGCTCCAGGGCCAGACGGCGCTGTCTGAGGACCTTTTTCTCCACCTGGAAGCACAGGAGGGTGCTGATGCTTACGCATAAAACACGAGGCCGAGCCCTCCTCACGCTGAAGCACAAACTCTTAAACGCTCAGCAGAGCTTGAGCTGATCGCGCTGCTACTGCAGACCCGGGGGTTCGTCACCAAGTGCTCAGATGTGGTGGCAGAGTTACAGGCACTTCCACAGCAACAGCTCTGAAAGCAACAAACACACCAAATACAGTCACTGCAGGGTCAAAAAACCCAAAACAACCACCCCCAAACTAAAAGCTGCACCACAGAGGTAACCAAGAAACAGAGGAAGATGTTTATTGTTTTCTTCTTTAAAAAAAAAAATAAAAAAAATTCACTTCTGTATTTCTAGAGAACAGCTGCAGACGGGGCCTGGCAGGATGCTGGGTACCTGCTTACAAGAACACACCAGTTCCAGCGAAGTCTTTGCTCAACCACATCTTGTCTTTCCCTTTTGAGGTTTTTCAAACCCTGTGGCCGAACCCAGAGGGGCAGCAGGTGCTCCTGGCCCACCCCACCCCTTTCTGTCCACCCTGAGCGGGTTTGGGCCCCGGCCGGAGAGTGCGCACGGTGCCACCTCGCCCTCAGCCAGAGCGGGAAACGTCTGGGGAGAGCAAAGCTCTTTTTGTGCTCCGTCAGCAGTCTGCGTATCCAAAGGCACTCTAAGCTTGCAGGAGAGCCAACACCTTTAGATTTTACCACCAGGGCAGCAAAAATCCAAGCTCTCCTTTACCTGTACCTCGCCCCACGGCTGTGGGCTGTACGCGGTTGGGCCGTGGGTGTTGTGCAAGCACTGCACTCTGCTGCTGTCAGCGACGAAAGAAAAAATTAAAAACCCAAATCCCAGACTCGATCCCTCCAGGTGTGTTACTGCTCCTGTTCCACACATCTGGCACAACAAGGCCAAAACAGAAGAGCAGGGGACAGCAGGTCCACACACGCGGCGCAACAGAAGCACCCAGCGTCCCGCTCCTGCACAACGCAATTAAGTTTCGATACATCCAACAGGCAGTAAAAAGAAAAGAAAAAAAAGCTTTATATTTTATTTCTTGTAAAAATCTTTTAACACATGCAGACTAAAACCAGTGTAAGAAAGTACCCACCATTGTTTAAACAAATAACTATACTTAAATATAAGTGTCTGCAACTGACTTGTATAAAAATAAGGTACATTTTGCTTTTTTTACAGAAATTCATTCTCCAGTTCTCATAGCGATAAACAATACACAACTCTAACACACAGACAATTTCACCTGATCGTCGCTTTCCACCAGTTCGATACTGCTAAGGTATTATGTGCAAAACAGGTTGGTAACAGTTTCTTTTCCCAAAAGGGAAGCCTCCTATGTGTTTGTTGATCGGTTGTTGGTATTTTTTAGAAAAACCCGGTATCGGGTGTAAATTCCTCAAGTCCTAATCGGTTGCTTTGTTCTCAGATAAAAGAGTCCATTTACCGTGTTATGTACAGGCTCAGCGCCGGCGCGGCTGCAAGCCTCAGCGCCGGTGCCTGCCGTGT